CCCCCCCCCCACCCCGCATCCTCCGTGAGCAGCGGGGTGCAGAGTGGGCCCCCACCCCACACCCTCCCCTCTCCCCCGTGCTGCAGGAAGTTCCCTGTCTCCCTGTTGGGGATTTGACCGTCTGTCTTGATGTGCAGGTGGGCCTAAAATGTATAGTTCATCCTGGGAGATTTATTTATGTTTCGTGAGCTAATCAAGTCGCTCGGCGCAGATGTTCTGCTTTTATCCAGGGAGCGCGCTCTCCAGACAGATGCGCGGCCCCAGAGCTCGCTTGTGCGCCGAGTCACGTAAAACCACGGCAGGAAGACATATGGAGAAGGGCAGGAAAGGCGGCTCTGATCTTCCATTTTTAAACATTTAAATTAGTTTATTTTCAACGGGAAGTAACATACACTCGTAACTGAGTAAAATGAGGGTAAAAAAGCAGCCGGGGGTCCCCTTCCCCTGTCCTCTTCCCCCCAGTTCTGCTCCCAAGGGGCGGTCACTTACAGTCCTTTCCCGGTTGGTTTTTCTTTTCTCTTTTTTTTATTATTTTATGTTTAACTAATCTCTGCAGACAACATGGGGCTTGAACTTAGAACTGTGACATTAAGAGTGGCACGCTCCACCGACTGAGCCAGCCAGGGGCACCCCTCCTTGTTGGTCTTTCTGTGTGGAGTTTTGTTCGTGGTTATTTCCACGTTCCGGGACGTATCCCACTGTGTCTACGTTTGTCAACGGGAGATTTCTTGGGTTGTGGTCAGCGATGTAATTTGCTCAGGACCCCGCCCCCTGCCCCCTCCTTTCCAGTCTTACCAGTTACATCACTGTGTTCACATCCTTTGTTATCTTTGCAGCTGAGACAGAGAACAAAAACCCCATATCCGGTTTCATGGGCTCTGCACCCTGCTCGTTTACCCGAAGCGTCTCTGATGAGCGCCTCTTCCCGCCCACCCCCAGACCCACACACGTTGTGGGGTGGGGGCATTCACATTAGCGGTGCCATCTTGCTGGTCCCCTTCTTCCCAGAGGTCCTTTGATTGGCCTCAGCTCTGTATCTGTTCAGAAACACTTGCCCTTGACGTGCTTACAACTGTCGTTTTGAACTTGGAATCCCAGGTGCTTATGTGCTGGGTATGCCGACGTTCAAAGAGAAGTCTCAGAAGAAAATGGAGTTAGCACATCCCATTTGGTTTTTAGTTTGAGCAGATTCATCCCGTGCGGGGGGATGAGTTGCCCGAGAGGTTATTTATAAACGTGCTCACCTTTTGGGCAGTGGTGGAAAGTGAGATAGACAGGGCGGAACCCCGTTGCCCAAAGACCTTGTGATAACGTGGGGCAACATTGGAATTACTATGTTTTATGCAAGAGGCCAGTCCAGGACGGTCGTCCTGGGCTAGGGTGTGCAGGGTCGAGAAGCAGGGTAAGAACGTCCTCACCTGACCGACCCGGTGGGGCCTAAGTGCTGGGCACTGTGCTGAAATTGTGACGTGCGTTCTCTCTGCTTCTCGTATCAGCCCTGTGAAGTTGCCACCTCGGGTCTCTTCGTATTATATAGATGTTCCCGCCTCATTCAGCCAGCAAAGTGGCAAAACTAGGATATCGATCCGAGTAGCCTGACCCCAGAGCGAAGGTGTCTCTGGGCACCAGACCTGGGTTCGGATTCTGGCCCCTCGCTGCCCACTGAGCTGGGGACCGAATCTTGGAAGTCATACCTCGCTCCTCCCTGCCTCAGTGTCACGTTACCTGTCAGATGGGGATAAGAGGTCCCTCCCCCCCACCATTCTGTCTTCTTCTCTTCCTTTAATGGGCTCTGCTGCTGCCGGGTGCTGTGTGCCCGCGTGCGCACCTGGGTCCCTTGGAGTGGGCTAACAGGGTCTCCTTGCCCTCTGAACCCCGAGTCCACCTGGACGCTGGCGGCCCCCCGTCGGGTTTGCCCGTCGTCTCCCGCGCCCGTGTCTGAGGCCGAGGGGCCGCCCTCACCCCCGTGCCCTGTCATTGCAGGCACCTGGAGTCCAACAGCCTGGTGGAGGTGAACAGCGGCTCGCTCTACGGCCTGTCGGCCCTGCAGCAGCTCCACCTGAGCGGCAACTCCATCGCCCGAATCAGCCGTGACGGCTGGAGCTTCTGCCAGAGGCTGCAGGAGTTGTAAGTGTCCCGCCTCGGCCCTGTGCACGGCGACTCTGGGAGCCCGAGCCTGTGGGCGACCCTCCGGAGCGGGCGGC